AATTGATAAGTGCATATAAAATAATTAATTAAAGAAAAAAATTTATAAGTAAGTAATAGTGTGACGGTTAGAGATAATACCATGGTTAGAAAAACAAGAAGTGATAAAAAAGATACAATCTGTAAATGTTGTGGTCATGAATGTTCAACATTCCAAAAACTTCGTGGGCATCTTAAGCGAAAAAATCTGTGTAAACCATTACAAGATAAAAAGGATATAGTTCCTATTCAAGTGTTCATTCAAGAGGTTAACCAAGATAATTATCAAGAAAAAGTGCAAGTTCAAACTCCCGTAGTCTATGCTCAAAAAAGAGATCGTCAAAGAGAAAAATTACAAGTGGTTAACCAAACACCAGTATATAAGCCAGAACTGCAAAGGGAAGCCCCAACTACACATGATAGAGATTATAACACAGTAAGAAATGAGTATATTGATAGGCATGCAAGAAAGTCTGGAGAATATTTGAGAACCTGGATGCAAGATTACGTCAAAGATGGAATGAAGTAACTGGTGAATAACGTATTTTGCCAACAATATTAAAAGATTGTTAGCTTCTACATCATGATCTATTACAGGCTAATGATGAGGCTTTTGAAAAGGTTCAAATTGATTCTAAAGCTGGCCCTGGTCTAGCAAGCTAAGCTAATAGAGAAAAAGCAAATAATGAAGAATTTAGGCATTTGAGAAAAATTCCTGAAGAAGAACAAGAAAGAAATCTAGAATTTAGAGAGCAAGAAGAATTAAGCACGGCACTTAAAAGAAGAGCTATAGCTATACATCATGCAAAAGTTCCCAAATCCTATTCAGATAATGGTAGTAATATACGAAAAATGTTAGAGAGTAGAAGGAAGCAGTTTAGAGAAATACTTGAAAAGAAATTTGATAAGCGTGGACAATTTAAATTCGCTCTATGTTCTCTTACTAAATTTCTTATAGATGATAAACCTGGGAATGAAAATCAGGGAAAAAAGAATTCATGAATTGACTGGCTTAGAAATAAGCAAATTATAGTTTATAATAGAGATGAAATAGATGATTACTTAAGCAATACTTTCGAACAAATTTTATACCAAGTAGAGGAGAGAGGAGGTAAGACTAATTCTTAAGAATATATTTGGGTAGTAATACTGTGTCTGGTGGGACGATTTGTAATTTTTCTCTTACAAATAAGCGTCTAGGACCCTTGTAAAGCTTGTAGATAATAGGTTGATTTTCTTTTAACAAATAAAAATCAATTATAAAGACTTCGAGAGACCAATTGCAATCGGTTGCTTTTCTTCTTCCATCTTCTAATTCACCAAGTTCTAAAAGGTGCCGAACTTCTGTATAACTAGGTAAAAGAGGTTCATTATAACCAACTGGTCTCCTGTGCTTTACCGAAGATCTAGCTATTATTTTTTTTCCTTTTAATGCTTGTTTTACAGCTTCATTAGGAGACATACCTATTAATCGGGTAAGAGTATTATTATAAATATTGTCATTTATATGAAGACCCTTAACCCATGATCTAGATCTATCAGTTAAAGGTAAATGAAAATCTTCTGCATCTTGCCGAAAATAAACATGCTTTTCAAATTCTTGATGGTTACGTTCAGCAATAGCTACACCACGTTTAGAGTTAGCATACTGAATTTTTACACCATGGCTAAGTAATAAATCTCTACACTCACCCAAAAATTCTGTACCTTTATTAACAATTAAAACATTTGGCCAAATAAAAGGGCAATTTGGGTTATCATAAATTTTTTAAAACGCTTTAGCTACTTGTGCAGAAGATTTATTGGTTAAAGCAAAACTACGACGAAATCTAGTAGCTACATCTTTTATTACAAGCCTATGCTTATAAATTCGATTATCTACTTTATCATGAGGCATGGGAGTAGTATTAGATTGATGCACATTATTTAGATCTTGTATATCATTAAAAGAAGCATACTGAATAAACTTTGGTTAAGGCTTGTGAATTTGATGCAAAGCTTGCCTGTTTAGCCAATTTTTAATCTCAATAAGAGAAAACCTATATTTGGCTTTCTTGTAAGCATCCAGCATTTTTTCAGCTGTTTGGAATTACCCTTTATAGCAAAGTCAGAAGGTTTATCAGCTTTCCACCCCAGGGCGTTAATTGTTGCATCATT